AATTTATGATGGCAACTATTTGTCTTTCAGATTTCTGCTTTTTTTAAAAACATTTTTAAAAGTTTATTTACTTATTTTTGAGAGAGAGAGAATGAGAGAGAATGAATATGAGTGGGGACAAGGCAGAGGGAGAAGGAATCCCAAGCAGGCTTTGCACCATCAGTGCAGAGCCTGATGTGGGGCTCGAGCTCACAAACCATGAGATCATGATCTGAGCTGAAACCAGGAGTCAGAGGCTTAACCAACTGAGCCACACAGGCACCCCTCAGGTTTTGCTTCTTACCAACTTCTGTGTCATAAAACTTTATGCAGTGTTGGAGCACTTGGGTAGCTCAGTTGGTTAAGCATCTGACTCTTGATTTCTACTCAGGTAATGATCTCACCATTGTAAAATAGAACCCCATGATGGGCTCTGTGCTCAGCGCAGAGCCTGCTTATGACTCTCTCTCTCTCTCTCTCTCTCTCTCTCTCTCTCTCTCTCTCCGTCCCTCCCCTGATTGTGCACACATGTGCATGCACACTCTCTCACGTGCACTCTCTCTGTCTCTCAAAACCAGTAAATTAAAAAAAAAAACAACCTTATGCAATGCAAAAATTTTAAACTCTGATTATGCATAGATGGGCAGTTATTGTTTTTATTCTGCATTCTGGAGATTAAAAACTAGCTCTGGGCAAAGCCAGTTTCTTCATTTTGTTAGGGTCTAAAATCGTAGTTTCAGTGTTTAAGCCAAATAACGTTACTTAGTAGAAACTAAATAAATGTTTGCTGAACTATAATTACTACCATTTATTAGGCACACAACTGTGCACTTTACATAAATTATCACATTTAATCCCTGCAGTAAGGAGACAATGAGTACACACCATTCCCATTTTAGTGAGAAAAAGTTTGAAGTTGAGAGAGGATTAGAAACAATGAAAAATCACAGGTCCCTAGTCAGTGAGATTTGGGGATTTGAGTGTAGAACTGTCCTACTTGAACTGTATTTTATGACCTTCTTAAACAATGAATGGCTGTTCAAACTGGCTACTCTACGAAGGTCACTCTCACCTTCTCCCCTCCCAGGAGTTAGTTCCTTCTCTGGTTTTATTTTGTTTGTTTTTCTCCCAGACCATTTAGCACACATCTCTCTCATTTTATTTCTCTGTAACATACTGATAGATTTATGTGTTTCCCTTTCTTTTATAGTTTATAATCCTTTGAGAGAAATCATCAATTTTGTTTTGTTTTTGTCTTTTGTTTGAAAATTATTGCAGCTAGTTCTGGTCTACAACATACTGGGTTTTTTCCCCAACTTTCTGAGATATAGTTGTGTGACATTGTGTTAAGTATGCAATATACAATGTGATGATTTGACATAGGTATATACTATGAAATGATTACTACAATAAGGTTAGTTAACAAATCACTTCACATAGTTACCATGTGTCTTTCAGTTTGGATATCCGTTATCTGGCACTGTGCTTGGCACTTAATACATATTTTTTAAAATATTTTTTTGTTTTATTTTGAGAGAGAGAGTGTGCACATGCACATTCACGTGAGGGAGGGGCAGAGAGAGAGTGGGGGAGAGAATCCCAAGTAGGCTCCATGCTGTCAGTGCAGAGTCCCACAATGCAGGGCTCAATCCACTGAACTGTGAGATCATGACCTGAGCTAAAATCAAGAGTTGGATGCTTAACGGACTGGGCCACCAAGGCACCCTGACACTTGATACATTTTTGAATATGTTGATTAAATTTTATAAAATATTATATATTTGTTTTCTCACAAAAATCACATCAAGTTTATTTATTAAAATAGCAGAAATCATTTCTTTAAGTGAATTTAAACATTCACAAGATTATACAGTGGATAAATATGATATGTGATTAGAGAAGTAATTACTGATTTAAATAAATATGATAGAATTTGTACATTCAGATTAATGTGTTTCCTTCAAAATAATCATCTAGAGAAATAATATACTTCTCTAAAAATGCTGCTAGTGTTTCAGAACCAATTGGAACTTGTTTCTATTTCCTCAGAATTTGTTACCTTTTTTGAATATACCATATGGAAGGAAGACCATGGTAAAGTTTCAAAATATTTCTATGTCATCTTTCAAGATGACACCCAGATAATACCCAGCTGTGTTAGCTTTAGATTTTTAAAATTATTTATAACATCTTAAATATCAGTATACTTTTCAACGGTGCTGAACTATGGATTAGAGCAATGTTTCTGCCCTTTTTTAATAAAGACTTAATTTTTTTAGAGTAGTTTTAGGTTCACAGGAAAATTGATAGGAAGATACATATTTCCAGTGTATCCCCTGTCCCCTCACATGTATAGCCTCTCCCATTAATCAACATCCTCCTCCAGAGTTGTACATTGTTACAATTGATAAACCTGCATTTATGTATCATCACCCAAGGTCTGTGGTTTATATTACAGTTCCCTCTTGGTACTGTACATTCTGTGGCTTTGGACAAATGTATAATGACATATAACCATCATTACAGTATCATACAGAGTATTTTCACTGCCCTAAAAGTTCTCTGTGCTCTGCCTATTCATTCCTCCTACCACTCCCCTGCGAACCTCTGGTGACCATGCATCTTTGTATTGTCTCCATGGTCTTGCCTTTTCCAGAATGTGATATGGTTGGAATCATACAGTATGTAGCCTTTCAGATTGACTTCTTTCATTTAATAATATGCATTTAAGTTTCCTCTATGACTTTGCATGGCTTGATAGTTCATTTCTTTGTAGCACTAAATAATAATCCATTATGTATCAGTTTTTTGCTTTTTTAAAAAAATCTATTTACTTACTAAAGGACATCTTGATTGCTTCCAAGTTTTGGCAATTATGAATAAAACTGCTGTAAACATCTGTATACAGGTTTTTGTGTGGACATCTGTCTTAAACCCTTTTAGGTAAATACCAAGGATTGTGATTATTGGGTCACATGGTAAGAGTATGTTTAGTTTTGTTGGAAATTGCCAAAGTGTTTCCCAAACCATTGTACCATTTTGAATTCCCATCAGAAATGAATGAGAACTGTTGATCCACCTCCTCAGCAACATTTGGTGTGGTCAGTGGTTTGGATTTTAACCAATGTTGTAGATGTGTAGTGGTATCACATTATTGTTTTAATTTGCAATTCCCAGGGGTGCCTGGGTGGTTCAGTCAGTTGAGCATCTGACTTCGGCTCAGGTCATTATCTCATGGTTTGTGAGTTTGGGCCCCACGTCGGGCTCTATGCTGACGGCTCAGGGCCTGGAGCCTGCTTCCGATTCTGTGTCTCCCTCTGTCTCTGCTCCTCCCCTGCTCACACTCTGTCTCTCAAAAAAAAAAAAAATAAAAAGATTTAAAAAAATTTTGATTTGCAAATCCCAAATGACCTAGGATGTGGAGCATTTTTTTCATTTGCCTGTTTGCCATCTGTATATATTCTTTGGTGAGGTGTCTGTTCAGATCTTTAGTACATTTTTTTAACTGGGTGGGTTTTTTTTTTTTTTTATTGTTGAGTTTTAAGAGCTCTTTGTATATTTTAATTAACAGTGATTTAAGTCTTCATGTCTTTTGCACATGCTTTATCTAAGTCTGTGGTTTATCTTATTCTCTTGACAGTGTCTTTCATGGAGCAAAAGGTTTAAATTTTAGTGAAGTGTCCAGCTTATCAATTCTGTCTTTCCCGGCTTTGCCTTTGGTGTTGTATCTAAAAAGTCTTGTCAAACCCCAAATCATATGGATTTTCTCCTATGTTACCTTCCAGGAGTTTTATAACTTTGCATTTTATGTTTGGGTCTGTAATGAGTGAATTTTTGTGAAGGGTGTATCGTCAGTGTTTGTTGAGATCCTTTTTCTGGGGGTGGGGGGAACAACTGGGTTGTCCAGATGTTCTAGTATCATTTGTCCTTTCTCCTGGCAACTCCTGTCCATTGAGTTGCCTTTGCTCCTTTGTTAAAGTTCATTTGGCTCTATTCGTTTGGGTCTGAGTTATGTTCTATTCCATTGATTTATTTGTCTATTCTTTCACCAGTATTACACTGTCTTAATTACTGTGGTTTTATAGTAAGACTTGAAGAAATTACGTATTATCATTCCTTGAACTTTGTTCTTCAGTATTGTGATGGCTGTTTCCATCTTCTTTTGAAAAACATAGGTATTATGTTAAATGAGAGTTCAGAAGACTAGATAATATAATTGAATTGCTACCTTATATTTACAAGTGCTCAGTAAGTGTTGCATTTGAAATGTATACTCACCAGAAATGTATACTCACCAGAAATATTTGTTTACTGGTTTGAAGGAGAACAAAGTAGGGAACAGACTTGCTGTCATGTTACCATGAGCATACCTGTAAATGCCATTTCCTTATATTGATAAATGGTTCAGTGGTTCAACATGTCTTATTTCATATTGTTTAAAGTCTAAACAGCAAGATAAAAAAAGACACATGTTTGAATATAACTTGTGATATTTTTAATGACATTAAATCTTATTACCTGTACCTTCATTTCTCCCATTCTCCCATTCTTTCATTCTTCCATTATGTTGACATTTTTATAATGAGGGCTCTTATGTTGGGTGATTGATGTTCAAACTTTTAGAGATTACGCAAGCATTTCTTTTTCAAGTTTAAGATTAATAAGTAAAATATTTTTTCTTCCCATCAGATGTTGTAATGAATTAAAATTAAAGTGGAGGAACTGATGTCATAATCTTTTAGAAATCAGGTTTTTTTTAAAAAAATTATTAAACATTGTTAATGCAATGGAAAGGAGTTATTTAGTACTACATGAGACTTGATTATGTTTACATCTCAGGCCAGAGATGTTCTGTCTTTTCTGATCTTTCCTCAGACCTAGCACATTTTCTTACACAATAAAAATTGAGAAATGAAAAAACCGTAACTTTGGATAGAGTAGATAAACAGTGATTTGATAAATACCATTTTATTCTTCATACAAATATAAATTTGCAAATGTATTTACATTTTTTATTATAGTTGGTGGCTAAAGGAGTTAAAAGTTCTGATATGTCTCCGCCACTGGGACAACCTGAAGCAGGTGGCTCTCCATCAAAGCAACAGATGAAATCTGTTATTTCTGTGACTTCAGCTTTGAAAGAAGTGGGTATGGTAAGTTCCCTAAAATTTAGAACTCCTCAAAGCAAAAAGTTATTAGAAGGACTAAATTTAATGAAATTACATTAATTCCTAGTGTTTCATTAAATTTTTTCTAAAAAAAATTACTTGTTAAGATTTTTGTGTATAGTTTACTCTGGGTATTGGAGCCTCATTGCTGATAGGTTTATATCTAGGACCACTTAATACATAAAAATAGATTTAAGTGATTGTCTCTCATTTTCACTTTAAAAGAATATTGAACAAATAAATTATATATAAAAATGTACAGAAAATAGTGCAACAAACATTTGTAATGGAACAAACATTAACAAACACTCTCACAATTAACAGTTTCATTTTTTTAAAGAAAGGTTCATTTTTTAAAAAAATAATGTCTCTTTGGTGCTTAAATTAACTCTAAGAATAAAATCCAAGGCATGTTTACATTTATTTGAAAATCTTTAGCATAACAAATGTTGGAAGATTCAGTATAATTGCACTTACTCCATCAATTATTTCTTTTCCCTTCTACTTATAAATCTCTGTCATGCCAAATGGATAATGAAACAAAGAAATATGGGCAAATAAAAAGCTTAAACTTGGAAGTATGTGTCAGGTATTCGTCTAAAATGTGAAAACTCTGTTGTGGAGTAAAGGAAATAGGCTCATGGTATGGGATTTCAGCCCAGAATTCAACACAGAGAAGGGAGAAGTCTACTGAATCATGTAACACATTAACCTGATTCTCTCCTATCTCATTAATTAATGTCTCTGCCTTTTCATTGCTGGCTGAGTTTCATTAAGTTTTTGCAGACAACACTAATGTTACTGATACACCATTTTTTTTTTATAGCCTTTGTGTTTATCTTGAAAATAAGACTGAGTAGGAAAATACAAGTTTCTTGGTAACTCTCAAGAACTTCGTGTAAGAAATTACTGTTCTTTAAGTAGGTTTAGTCTCTTTTTCTTTCTGATAACGACTTTGCGTGTGCTGCGTTGTTCACTTCAACTTTAGATACCACTGTGTGGTTTCCTTCCTGGTACCCAGTCTCACATCTCAAGTAGCTGTTCATCTCTCTGGTTATAGCAACTGCTAATTCCTGACTACTTTATGGGGTAAAATGCTCTTTGTCTCATTTACATGTATTACTTTAAAACTGACCACTATACTCTTTTGTATTTTCCTCAAATCTTACAAAATTTGAGGTAATCTATGTAATGAAATGGTTTTTCTTTATGTGTTGTCTTGGTAAATATTGCTACTTAAAACTTTGAAAACTGCTGTTTCTTACTCTGCATTTTTCAGATTATTTTTGCTCTCGTAGCATTCATAACTACTAATTTCGTCTTTGCGAGCGTTTAAAAATTCGAGTTGGTCTAGATCACTATGATTATACTAATCAAAGACAGAATTTATATTATTGTTGGTATAAAGGACTCAGAACTCATTACTGTTACTCTCTTTGTTTACTGAGAGAAACCAGTTCTCAATTATGTTTAGTAGTATGGCTGAGCAGGAATATATGTACATGAAACATGAAGACAATTTCAAAATAATACAGCCTATCCTGAGTTACTCTATCCACTAAACTCCCTAGCTCCAATTAAGAGAGTACATCAGTTAATTTTCTTTTTATTTCTACCATTGACATAAAATTACCAAAAATCAGATGACAAAAAGGAAGAGGATTTAGTTAAATATGTGATCAGTAATCTAAAAATAAGACAAATAATTGAGAATTGGCCCTTCTGCTATTAAGTATAATGAAGGAATCTGTGTTAACATTTTACAGGAATAAAAAATTCACAAGGAACAATTTAATAAAAAACAAAAAGTAACAAAAATATGAAAGTTTTTAAGGTAGGCATTTAAAATAACATTATTTCTTACTCTGTAACTGTCTGTGTTTATAGGACAGTAGTTTAACTGATACCCAGGAAACCTCAGAAGACATGCAGAAGACTAACAATGCTATTTCAGTAGGTACAATTTTCAAACTTTCTCAGTCATTTTACTTAATTGTATACATATTAAAGTATAACTTTTTAACTGTTTCAGAGTAAGCGAGAAATACTCCGTAGATTAAATCAAAATCTTAAAGCTCAAGAAGATGAAAAAGGAAAGCAATGTCACTCTGATACATGTGAAGTGGTCGTTAGTGAAGATGCCAAAGAGCCCGAAAAGGAAAAATCGGTTTCATCTGATCGCAAGAAATGGGAGGCGGGAGGGCAACTTGTGATTCCCCTGGATGAGTTAACATTGGACACATCCTTCTCTGCAACTGAAAGTATGTATAAAATCTTAATAATCTGTTTTGGTTTAGCACACATGTAAACTTGAATACTCTGAAAGAACAAACACTTAGAGGGATTGAGAGAGGCTGGAAAATTTCTTTGTATGTGAAAAATGGAGAAAACTATTCAACCTTACGAATAGCAAGGATTTGGGGGCACCAGGGTGGCTTAGTTGGTTGAGCATTTCACTTCAGCTCAGGTCATGATCTCATGGCTTCTGGGTTTGAGCCCCACGTCGGGCTCTGTGCTGACAGCTCAGAGCCTGGAGCCCACTTTGGATTCTCTGTCTCCCTGTCTGTCTGCCCCTCCCCTGCTCATGCTCTGTCTCTCTCTCACCTTCAAAATAAATAAACATTAAAAAAAAAAAAAAAGAGTAGCAAGGATTTTTATTACAAAAGTGTGTGGTATGAGAGAAGGAACTAATGATACATATGTAAATTGTATTACTTTAACTCTTTCTACTATGTTATATTAATCTTTTACCAGGAATAATTCTTGATGAGAACCAAAATGGCAGCCTTTGACAGAATCTCAGAAAGGTCCTTTAAGTATTTAGCCAGGAGTATTGAAAATATCTCACTTAATGATTCATCTATTCAGCAATAATTATTGAGCAGCTACCATTTTCTTGCATTGTCCTATGCACCAGAGGGAGATACAATAATAAATAAAAACCTGTGCTCTTGTGGAGCTTACGTACTAAAAGGGCAAGTCTGATTATCAACCAACTAAATATTTTTAAAAAAAAAAATTTAATGCTTATTTATCTTTAAGAGAGAGAGAGAGAGAGAGCAAAGAGAAGGGTAGAGAGAAAGGGAGACACAGAATCCAAAGCAGGCTCCAGGCTCTTAGCTGTCAGCACAGAGCCTGATAGGGCCCAAACCCATGAACTGCAAGATCATGACCTGAGCCAAAGTCAGACACTTAACCGACTAAGCCTCTCAACAAAATATAGTTTTAAGTAATTTTTTTAATGGACTCTTTTCATAGAATTCTTTCTTGCACTGGAGAAAAGCTCAAAGAATCCAACCTGTGGTGTCTTTTATTTTGTTTACTTATTCAGTAGTTCTTCATGGAGTCTTATTAAATGCCGCACACTCCTCAGCAATGAAGATACTATAATGGTTGAGACATAGTCCCTCCCCTTAAGGAGCTTAGGGTCTAGTGGAAAGGGAGACAAATATAGAGGCAATTATAGTTCACAAGGAATATACTAGAAATAATCCTGGCTACTGCCAGAATGTGTCGGGACATAAGTCTATCTTGGGGAAGCCAAGGAAATGATTTCTGAAAAAAGGGATGAGCTGAGGGATAAGTAGTTAGCTAAACCAAAAGCTGAACCAAATATTGTAGGCGTAGAGTATCCAGGACCCAGGTGAGAGAGGGTGTGTAATTCAGGGAACTTGGTATAGTTCAGCATGGATTACTAACTTTCAGAAGTCAAGACAAAGAGTGGCAAGTAAAAAGCCATGGAAGAAGTAAGCAGGGCAAATCATGAAGGGTACTGTACCTTGGCTCTCTCAAACATTATGAACTTATTCTGAATGCAGAGAACAGTTTTTGAAGCAGGGATTAGCAAATGTTTTCTGTAAATGGCCAGATAGTGAATATTTTAGACTTTGCAGGCCATAGGAGCTCTGTTGCAACTTCTCTATTCTGTCACTGTTGTGTAAACCCAGCAAGAGACAATATGCAAAGGTATTAGCATGGCTGTTTCCAATAAAATTTTGTTTAGGCACACTGAAATTTGAATTGATTAAAATTTTCTTTAAACCTTCTATTTCTATTCTCAGACTTGCTATTTTTTCATTGCCGTAAAGTACATTCATATCATGATTATTTCCTGGAACATTTTTATAATAACTTTTAAAATCTTTGTTAGATAATTCCAATATCTGTGTTATATCTGTGCTCATTATTAATCATTAGCCATCTTTCATGAGAGTTAAAATTTTCCTGGTTCTTCTTTTTCTGAGTAACTTTGAAATATGTCCTGGACATTTTGAATATTCCCTTATGAGACTCTAGGCCTTATTTAAATCCTGTGGAGAATGTTCATATTTTTGCTTTAGCAGGCAGCTGACCCAGTTAGGTCACAAGTTTCTATCTGCCTCCCGTGGCCTGTGGTTCTAATATCAGTTCATTTTTCAAAGCCTGTCAATGCTGTTTTGGTCTACTAGCATGTGTATCATCCAGTGACTGGGCTGGGGACCTTGGCAGTTATCTTTTTGTTAATTCAATTTTCAAAGTTTTGGATATACTGAATAGGATCAAATCCATGGGTGTGCATATGGCAGGTGAGCCCAGATGATAATAAACAACTTTATGGGGTTGCTTTCTTGAGTTCCTTTGTCTTTATTATCTTCCTGGGATTTTCTCGTTGCCCAGGGCTTCTCTCTTTGGTTATCTGGTCAGAAAACGGAGGCTTTACTTACTTTGTTCTATTGTATACTCAGAGCCACGTGGCTAGAAGACAGAGAAAAATAGCAATGGGAACTTAGCTGCATCTTCTAGGTACCACATCTCTACCAAACAGAAAGGAAGCTTCCTCGTCCTCAGTTTGATCCTCTGTGTGTTCTGATTACCAACTACTGCTCTTGTCACTATGGGGTTTTTGGGGAGGAGAAAGGAGATGACAAAGTAAAGAAAGAAAAGAAAAGCATTGAAGGATTTACTCACGCCAAGTAGTAGGATTTCCCTTCCCCATTCCTCGAGCTGGAAGTGGAAGGCCTGTCCTAGAACTCTCTCTCAAACCCGGTGCCATTTATGGATATCTGACATGCTGAATCCTGACAGGGTAATGTCTCCTTCCGTAATCCATCTGCTACTCTTTCTAAGAGTTCTCAAATAGCCACTTCATATATTTTGTTCTGGTTTTCGTAGCTGTATTCAGTAGGAGACACAGGGTAATATGTGCTTACTCCATCTTCCCAGGAACTGAACTCATTTAATTATCCTTTAAAGAGATTTAAATACCTTTTAAAGAAAGAAAGTCTTTTTGTATTTATCTATGTAGTTACCATTTCTGATGTTCTTAACTTCTTTGTTTGAAAGGATTTCTTTTAACATTTCTTGTGATGCAGGTGATAGATTATTTCAACTTTTGTACACTGAAAAGTATTTCACCTGAATTTTTAAAAGGTATTTTCTCCAAGTATAGAGTTCTAGATTGGCAGTATTGTCTTCCAGTGCTTTAAAGATGTTGCACCATTGTCTTCTCACTTGCATTATTTCTGACAAGAAATCTGATTCTTAGTTCCTTCTGCATAGCACAGCGTTTTTCTCTGACTGCTTTTAAGATTTATCATTATTGGGGCGCCTGGGTGGCGCAGTCGGTTAAGCGTCCGACTTCAGCCAGGTCACGATCTCGCAGTCCGTGGGTTCGAGCCCCGCGTCGGGCTCTGGGCTGATGGCTCAGAGCCTGGAGCCAGTTTCCGATTCTGTGTCTCCCTCTCTCTCTGCCCCTCCCCCATTCATGCTCTGTCTCTCTCTGTCCTAAAAAATAAATCAACGTTGAAAAAAAAAATTAAAAAAAAAAAGATTTATCATTATTATTGATTTAGAGCAATTTGATTGTGAAGAGCCTTATTGTACTTTCTTCTTGTTCTTTTCCCTGGGGTTCATTGAGCTCTTTGGTCTATTGATATATAGTTTTCATCAAATTGGAAGTTTCTTTGTTATTATTTCTTCAAATGTTTTTTTGGGCCTCCTCTCCCCTCCTTTGGGTACTATAATTTCGTGTTTATTAAGCAGCTCAAAGCTGTCAGTCTTATAGCTCAGTGATGCTCTTTTTCATTTTTTAGATTCTTTTTTCAGTGTGTTTTGTTCTAGATAGTTTCTATTATTCTATCTTCAAACACACTTATTTTTCTTTTCTGCATTGCCTAAGCTATTAATTCCATCCAATATATTTTTCATCTCAAATAATGTAGTTTTCATCTCTAGAGGTTCACATTTTGTTTTTTTTATCTACCATATCTCTACTTATCTTTTTGACCATATCTACTTATCTCTTGACTGTACTTATGGAGTACAGTTGTAAAAACTTTATTAATGTCCTTGTCTGCTAATTCTAGTATCTCTCTCAGTTCTGGCTGATCTATTTTTCCCCTTGTTATGGGTCATATTCTTCTTCTTTGCATCATAGGCATTTTTTGATTGGAGACCAGACATTGAGAATATTGCTTGTTGAGTGATAGATATTTTTGTGTTTCTATAATTATTCTGGAGCTTTGTTCTGAAGGTAGTTAAGTTAGGTGGGCTCAGTTTTATCCATTCATGTCTTGTTTTTGAGATTTGCTAGGTGAAATCAGAGCCATGTTTAGTCTAGTGCTAATTTCTTTTCCTCTACAGAGATAAAACCCTTCTGTGTACCCAGTGCACCATGAATTATGACATTTTCCAATCTGGCTTCTGGAAACAGGGAATATTTCATGTCCTATTTTCTCTATAATCTTTTTGGGTGGTTCTATTCCTACCTTGGGTGGTTTTCTCACATATTTGCTTGTCTCACAGCTCTGCTGATATGTAAGGGCTACCCTCATAAACCTCTATAATCCTCTTTCTACTTTCCTTGGTCTTCCAAAAATCTCATTCCTGTCTTCCAAACTTGAGGTAGCCTCTTGTCTGGGTTCCCCTTTCGGACCTGCAGTTTAGAAACTCTGAAGGCAGCAAGCTTGAATACTCATAGGGACCATCTTGTTTGTTTCTTTTTACTCAGTGGTCTGTGTTCTTTATTACATTTTGTCCAGTGTCTTAAATCTGTTGTTTGTGTATTTTGTCCAATTGGTTTGGATATTTAGGCAATAGCATAACTAGTTACCTTAGTCCATCTCACTCAGAAGTGGAAGTCCTTCAGACCATTTTTTAGAGGTCTAGGCAAAAATCATTGATGAACATAACTAAGTTACTGAAAGGTAATAAAGAGAAGAGGACATATTTAAGAGATACTAGGGGACAGACTTGTAAGGGCTTCCTGTGAAACTCTTCTAAG